GAAAACTTTGTTCGCAAAATTCGTACAAGTGTCATAAAACTGTATACTATAATAATATGAATATTCAGACGGGATTGAACCACTGCTGGGCCAGTTTTGCCGCAAATTGATCGGATAGCAAACGTGCCACTAGAGCAAACGCCCAGGGGATACTGTGTCCTGTACTGGATCCGGTCACCAACAAACGGTCCACTTGTGCCTTACGATACCGGAATCGATAAATTGACAAGTAGCGTCGAACGGCCCATGAAGCTGTGATTGTGTGACCTCGATAAACATCACAAGCCTGTAACAGTTTCGGTGTAATATTTATAGCCCCGATTACACGATTCTCATGTCCGTAGAATTGAATCAAATCCAACAGGGGCGGGTTCTCAATCATATTCCAAACGGCCGCTTCTCCGCCTGTTAATAGGAGCGCTGTGTACAGCGGTTCGTTCAAGGTAGGTAACGCTTTGTCAGGTATGATTTGCACATTGGTCAATCCTTGAATTGGGTTCACATCCGCTGTGGTCGAAGCTGTGATCACAGTGATTCCCGCTTCAACGAGCACAGAGAGAGCTGTGGCTACTTCGATCGCTTCGAAGTCTGGCGGGATGAGAAGCACCGCTGTGAGACTTGAGTTTGGTTCTTGAGCGTGAACTAGTCCACTCATGGGGAGAATTAAACAAACGGCCAACATAGTAGAGAAACAGGAACACCATCTGGAAAGAACAAGTGGAAAATAGTTATGTGATGCATAAAAACAATGAAAGGCGACTGTTTTGATGGTAGGAAATACTTGTCAGTTTCACTAAAGTGCTAAGCACATAAGCGAGCACTTACACTCACTAAAACGACTATGGACGATCGGGTGCAAATAACCTGGAAAGATCTCCACTTGACTCATTCACAAAATCACAATGAGCATTTCACTTCATCTCGGTTAGAAAACTCCCGAATTCAAGCTAAATAGGATAATTTACTTCCTTGGAAAGGAGAGGCCTGTTCCATGTATCTCTGATTGAAGACATGATTATGAAGTTACTTGGGAGTTTGATACAACAGATGTCCTCAGCGTCACTCGACGTTTCCTATTTTGAAGGAGCACCTCTAACCTTTACACAAAACCAAGTGCAAACTGCAAGACGGTAAGAATTAACCTCTCGACTCGGAATTGACGGGGTCAATGATTTTATTTTTAAAAAGCCAGTCACATCGACCTTTGTCGCGACGCCATCATTGGGCTTGTGCGGCTTTAAAACAGGAGCCATGTGACCAACCTGGTGGTGTCGCCGCTGTTTGTTCGCGATTGTTTATTTGTTGCGGTATGCCACAACTTATTCACAGCTAACCTGCCTCAGTGAAGATATCCCCCTATCCACAACCAGGGACGCGCCTGGTAGCATTCAGCTCTGATGAACCTGAGAGTGTCCAGGAAAATGGGATAACCTCTACCACTTGCTTGGATTCTTCCAGCGAACCGCTGTGTTATCACTATGCTAGGGAGGTATTAACCAAAAAGAGACGACTATTCTATCTCGAGTGATGTGAGCCTACCAACTTCAATCAATGCGAACCATATCGTTTAACTATAGAGAGCAGTGGTAGCCCTCTGTTCTGTCTAAGATGAAGAAAGCCAAAATATTCATTCGATTCAATGTCCTGATCAAGGTTTTCATACCCTTATGTCAGGTCTTATTTGGACCGCTCTGGACTGCGTTACCAAATACATCACTCTTTTACAGATCAGCAAATGGTATAAGTCAAGGACGTGGAATTTGGAGGTTGTGTGTGTGCGTATGCATGTGTATGAGTAATATGGTAAGGGGTGTATTAGAGATTTATTAAACTGAATGCCGATTGAACTTTCTCTGAAAACAATTTGTTTTCTTTTTGCCGGGACGAAATTTCAGGTGCTTATTTTCCGCACAATCGTGCGCTGAGTTAGCCTCCAACAAATCTATCTTGTTTCGTAAGTTTGTAGCCGTCACAACAGGAGTAAAGCTTAAAACTCTTCGGTTTGAAACTTCAAGTCACAGGTATACATATTTCGTTATAATTCATTCACATTTTAACTCACAGTTGGTTATTTGTGAGCAGTGGTGCGGGATCAATAATAATGATGGAAACTGACTATCCCACTTCACCTTCACCTGGTGGCGAAGTGGTTATGTCACCAGCTTGTGACCTGTGGGTCACGGATTCAAACGGTTCCACCGCCGTCCGTCTTCCCAGACAGCCTTTGAATGACCGCGGTCAACGTTACTGAATGTTGACTTTACACTTATATATTCAATCAATAAAGGGAAAGTAAAACGACACTCATTTTTTTATAATCCTCAGTTCTTCCAGTCAACCATACACTCGGAAGCACTAGAATCGAGTTTCGTTCTAATTAGAGCTCATCTGTAGTTTGCATCCATCGTCCCGTCCGGGCTTTGAACTCCGGACCAATCGTATGCCAGGTATATGTGTTACCACCGAACCAACCAGCTCATAGCACCAGGGCTGAGCCGAATTGCCAATTCATGTTTGTTCAGGTATTGTCTTAAGAGACAGTCAGTCAGCTCAAGTTAGCCCGACAGCAAGAAAGGGAGGCAAAGCTGACTATCTGTTAACCCTAGTCGAAAGCCTCCCACTAACTCAGGTTTTCCATACAGGTTACGGGAAAACTGGCCACAAACTTTCTGGGCCAGATTAATAATTCCCATTTAACACACAGTTAATTAATTTGTGACTAGTGGTGTGTGTGTGTGTGGTCAGTTCCAATCATTATAATGCATTGTTTTGTGTATATGACGCGTTTTTGATTACAGTGTTGCGTTGGAGCGTCTCAGGTACGATGCACAGCCGCACTACCATAATCATCCCTCTTTTACACACACAGATGAACCTTAAACCAGTGCATTATAGAAAAAAATTGGTCGTTTCATTTATGACACAATTTCTTACTTTTATTTTACTGAATTGATTGAGCATTTGGAACCATGCATGCATCCGATTATGCATATTCCTGACGCTTACCAGCTTGTCATTAGAATGTCTCGATTGCCGGCTAGATTCGATGAAAATTGACACACTGAGTGAACAAAGTAACATAATCGACCGTAAAAATATCCATTTTATTTTATTCTGACCGGAATGTACATCTTTTGAACCTTTTCATTCATTTACAAGTCAAGTAAATTCAAATGAAGAAGCGGTTTTAATTCGCCCCTTAAGGGATGAACATTCAGCCACTACACAATCACTCTTCTGTGGTGGAAAAAGGTATGGTAAAAATAGGATGATTATACTCTGCATATACAAACAAATGAGGGAAATTTAGCAACTCTTTTGTTTGAGGGTCCCACTGACAACATCGGCGTTAGTAAGAAACCGTGCCCAAGCGGTATTACGGAAGACTTATATGCTGTGGTGTGCGCTGCTGTATACATATACTTGGAGCGAGTGCTAGATGTAGAGATACATTTACTAGTATGAGAGTACAGTGGGTGAGATGGGTCTAGTAGTATTCTGGTGCAAAGTTTCTGGCAAGCCCTAAAGTGTTGTGAAATGATAAACTGCACAGTATACTTGTGAGCTATATCACTGTCTCGACATACGTGTTTGATGGATGTACGTATGCATTTGAAGTCTTTGATCAAAAGACCTAGAAAAATAACTGTGGATGTTTAAATCCAGGGGGAAGGATATAAGAGAACACAAAACTTTCGATTTAGTAAGCTGGGGTAGGTAGCATTTTCAAACGAATAATCTAAAACTTGAGTTTTCTGAATTTGTGAGATGTCTCGTGGACTTGAGGAGACCAAGAAAGGTTGCGGGAAGTGGTGACTCCAAGATAGCTGACGGAACATGCTCTGGAAACCTGTTCTCTATTGATAATGACACGCTGACAAGAGTTCATCACATCAAGGTACTGGTTAACCATCATCAAATAAAATAAGACATCATTACACTTGGAAACATTCATTCTAAGGTAGTATTGTAAAGACCAATCGGTGAAAAACCGGTGAACAGTGAGATATTCTGCATAAGTTTGGGGTACACGAAGGAATTCGAAAAATTCAAGCTATACACATCATTATCAGCATACTTGATGAACTAACAATCATCAAAAGCAGGCATTGAAAAAATATAGATTGTGAACAAGAAGGGAGAGAGAATAGCACCTTGAAGAACTCTTTGCGCGGAGGGTAAAAGTGAAGAGTTGTGACCCCTATATTTATTAAACTCGAATCAATGGGTGAAATATTTACGTTACAGATTGGTAATCTCCGGTTGAATAGCCTTTTCAGCGAGAGTGTGAAGAAGTTTGGGCCTATCAACACAACTGAAAGTGTTCCTATAATCAAAGAAACAAACACGAACAGCTTTAAATTTACTATCCAAGGAAGAAGAAATATAATGAATAAGGGATACCAACACATCGATGGCTGATCTGGAACTGTGATGGGCGAATCGAGCGGGATCAGGTGCATTCAGCTTGAACAACATCTTCTGTAGTAAAATCTTTTCCAGGACTTTAAAAACAACAGAAGTCCAAGCAATTCGGCGAAATTTAGACGTTCCCTTTTTGGGTACTGGTGTGATAGAAGCATCGATTATGCACGCCCAAGTAAGAATATTTTCAATTTAATCGAGAGTTACTTATTGCTAATCTCAATTTTATCTAGACCGGGTTTCTTTGCTGTCTGTGGTGTACNATCGGGTTAAGCAGAGCTGGATGCTACCAGGCGCATCCCCTGGTGGCGGATAGGACGGTATCTTCACCGAAGTCGGTTAACTGTGAGTTGTGGTACATCGCAACAAATACGCAGTCGCAAACACACCGGCGGTACTACTAGGGTGTGGTGCGTTTCAGGTTGATCATCTAGCTCCAGTTTTAAAGTCGCATAAGCCCGGTGACAGTGTCTTGGCAAAGGTCGAGGTGACTGACCTTTTAAAAATAAATTCATTGATCCCGTCACTTCCGAGGCGAGGGCTTACTTTCTGCTGCCTTGTTGTTCACTCTTGGTTNCTCTTGGTTGTACGCTAAGGCTAGAGGTGCGCCGTCAAAATCAAAAAAAATATCGAGTGACTCTGGGGACGTCTATCGTACCAAACTCCCAAGGAACTTCATAATCATGTCTGGAACCGGCTTATCCTTTGCAAGGAGCCAGCCGCAGTAAAGTAGGTATCACGCGGTACCCGATCAATTTATATAAAAAACTTACAAGGTTCTGTTCATTGAGGTTTGATCACAAACTAAATTGAAATGGTCAGTTCTAAAATCAATCAGTTCGGTCAACAGGAACGGGAACTGTTTCGCTCGATTAAGCTCGCCGATTACTCATAACCGATGTTTGGGAAGTGATCTGTGCGCATGAAACTTGTTCTATGTTGTTTTTTTTCAAAATTCTGAAGCAGTTTTCAAGTCTGATGTTTGCAAGCCATTAGTTCTAAAGATAAATAGCTTATGATATGAAGTCCGGTCCGCGTATCGTTGTATCCGCGTAAAATATAAATTGACACATTTTTCAACGGGAAAAAATAGATTAGAAATCTGGGAAACTGAAGTCCGGTTAAAAAATAAGTCCATCGTCAATTGAGGAAAATGCACTCTAGTTACAGTTTGTTTTTGCAATTTTAAACGTACATCCGTACATATACTATTTATATTATACAATCTGATTGATGACTTAACAAATCTTAGTAGTT